TAGAATTAAAAACATTCGAATGCCATGAAAAGCTCTAAGTGTCGAGTTTTCGAGTTTCGAATCTGTTTCAGTATTTACAGAATTCAAGGGCATATACGTCCCAACCCCAATACAGTTGAAAATTTCCACATTTTCGAGAATTTTTTAAAGTCAAAGCAAGCATAGGGAAAATGGGAAGTATCTCGAAAATCAACGTACGTAAACATTAAAAACGTAATTTTAAATCCGTCCAAAAGCTAAGAGCGTGGAATTTAAATGCCACGCCCTTAATTTTATTGGTGGTCCAGACCTACAGATATTTTATTCTGTGTTTAATTAATTCAGTTTTATTGACAATCCCGTTTCCCTGAATCTGATTTATTAAACTGACCTTTAATTTTATTGGTAATCTCATTAATCGAGATCTTTAAATAAAATGATTCCTAATATAAATTAAGAATGATGGAGATTGAGACTGAATAATGGTGAATGAGATCTACCGAAATAACCGTGAAATTTTATTCTCTCTTGATTTGACTGTTGTCTAAATCTACTATTCACCCTTAATTTTATTTTGATTCTATGAGTTCAAATCCTCGTAATTCAATTAATTTTCAGTTTTATTGTTATCACATAATTTTAAATTTTAAAATAAATTGATTCTTTATTCATTGTTCATTCAATGAATTAAGATTCAATTTCAGTTCAGTGCAGTTCCGATCAACTGAAATTGAATTGAAATTTTATTCCCGCTTAATTGATGCAATTTTATTGGCGATCTGTATTCTCTGTTTGTTAAACTAACTCATAACTTTATTGATCATTTTGTTAATCTAGATAATCAACTAAATTTATTCTTAATTTTATTGATTTTTGAGTAATTTATTATACTTATATTATTTATTATACTTATATTATTATTATACTTATATTATAATATATTATTTAGATTATTATATTTATTATACGTATTATAATATATTATTTAGATCCACTGAATTTTTATCTTTTTTGAATGACTCCCAAATATATATATTAAATCGTTTCTTAATTTTATTTGTGAGTCCTAAAAATCCAGGTTCGCTTAATTAAATTGATTTTTAAATTTATTGATGATCCATATCCAATTAAATTTTCTTCTTTCTTGAAATGGTTTAGTTTTATTTGTGATAAGGGTCCAGTGAATAAATTTATTATACTGTTTCTTAATTTTATTGATAATGCTGTAAATGCAGATCCTATTAATTAAATAGATTCTTGATTTTTATTGTCAATCCACATCCCCTGAAATTGCACTGAAATTTTATTCCCTCCTGAATTCTCCCGATTTTATTGGTGATAATTTTTATTGGAACCAATTCATTTGTTGAATAACTCTTAATTTTATTGATAATTCTATAAATCCTGATCCTTTAATTAAATTAACTCTTAATTCTATTAGTGATCTAGATGCACTGACATTACTCTGCAGTTTTATTCTTTCCTAAATTAACTTAACTTTTATTGATAATCCAGCTCCAATGAGAGAACTTATACAATTGGCTCTTAATTTTTATATTTTCCAGATACAATGAAGTATTCCAGTTATTCTATTAATTTACATTAATTATCCATATTCACTGAAACTGGAATGACAGTATTAATTTTTAAATTTTCTGTGGATGTCAAATGTTGCTTTTCCATCGAATGAGCTGATTGCATAGGACATTTCATTGTTTCCTTCATGGGTAGCGGGATTACAAGCAAACTCTCTAAAAATGTCCTCCACAAAAGCATTCCTCTTCCTTAAGCAGATAGCCCTTGTATGCTCTGTTGTAACTCAGATGACCTACCTAGTTTTATATTCCATTACATCAAGGATGACTAGGGATTACTCGATTTAAAGTGGATAGAATGAAGAAAGGCGGTCTATAAACACCGATTAAATTTAACTTTTTAGTTTATTCTCTTCCATTTGTAAAGAAAAATAATTTGCTTCAGAGCTGTGGCTAACGACTTTTCAACAAATCAAGCCTTTTCAATAAGACCCGTAAAAACATGTATAATAAATTACTCAAAAATTTCTTTAGAGTGAATAAATTAGAAATTATATTTTTAACATAAAAGCTTCATTCTTTGGTGCAAGATATTATAGAATTATGATGTTATTTACTTGGTCTAATCCTGAACATTTGTCATATAAACCTAGCAGATACGTAGCAAGTTATCGCGATGTCTGAGATAGTATAGCACAGTTTTACGAAGGTTTTTAAAACAATCTTGTTTTTTTTCCTGAACTTTTAAAAAGACAGGACTCTGCTCCACCTACAGATAATCACACCTTGTGGTGATGCAAATAAATAAAAACAGTTGACTAAATTTAAAACTTCCATCAGTAGTTTAAAGCTAAGTTCAGACGACGGTATAAAGGGCAAAAGTGGTTTAGGCCGAGCTGGCGCTGCCAAGCAACTAGTCTGTGCTACGTCACAAAATCTGGTTTCGGGCTCTTGGCATAAAGTTCGAAGTTTTCAATTTTATGCCGACTTGGGATAAGCGTCGACCAGTCAGAGCGAACGCGCGAAACCTGTATTGAAAAAACAGAGCAGGAGAGCTGTAGACACGTCCACGCGTGCGCAAATTTAGCTTCTGTAATTGGGTGCGGCTTAGACCTTGTATCGCAGGTGTGAACAGAACTCCTACATTTTATTCCTTGTAACTATGCCTCTGACATTTATGCCGCCGTCTGAACGCAGCCTAAGACTACACAATTAAATATTAAGCTGGCTCAGTAACTTCCCGATTCGTGATATTAAAGTATTGGGGGGGGGAGAGAACGCAAAGCCGAGGTAATTACATTTAACTAGAGCTATCAGAATCTAACGCGCGCATGCTAGAAACACTCTCTCAAGATCCAAAAACATCAGCTTAAATAGTTTACAAATGTAATTTGCACTCTAGTGAGGAATGTAGAAAGAAGAATTTAATGTAATGCTGCAAATCATAATAATTGGTCAGTTTGCAATAAGAACCTTACTGTATGTTTGTTATTTAATAAAAATATATTTTTTCTTTTCTTGGCATTTATTCTGTACATGAAACTTCTCTTTACAAATAGATTTTGTATAGTAATTTTGTAAAGTGAATTTGAAATGTAATAGGCGTATTATTGCCATATAAGGAAAGTCAAACACAAATAGGGGTCACCAGCGAAAGACAGTGAGACCACTGAATACTGGTAGCTCGACCTAGGGGGCAAATCCCAGTAAATAGTAGATGATTTTTCTACCAGAAATAATATTTCAAATGCTAGCCAGTTTTCCTTAAATGTCCTCCACATAAGCATTCTTCTCTTGAGACAGATAGCCCTCGAGTATTTTGCCAAAACCTAAATAATTCAATCCAAGTAGAGAAAGATATAGCTTAAAATTAAGCCAAATTTTAGAAGCAAATTGAAGCTGGCATATGGAAAGAAATTTTAATGATTTCCAGTAAGATCGATGTTTTCTTTTCTTGAAGGACAATTATCCATATAAGTATCTCTGTAAACAGAAGTTTTCTGATAAAACCTGTATCAGTTTAAATCAGTTTAAATTTGAAATTGCTTAAGTTAAAAGATTTCAGACTTTTATGCTATTGTTCCATGAGTTACATAAACTTCAGTTTATTACCACTACCGAAAGACTTCTAAGGGAAAAATAAGTTCGTTAAAATGCCTTAAAAGAAATGTATTGCAACATTAAATAAAGAATAATGCTTCTAAAAAAGAAAAAAATCTGAAACGATTCAATTTTAATCCCCCACCAAAATGTTCAGTGTTTCGTGCAGGAAGCAAAGTTATTTTACACAAGTGATCGTAGACTTCATGCATTAAAGTTCGAAATTTTCATTTAGCAGACTGCCATGTATAATTGCGTATACGTGTTGCCATATACAAGTTGAGGCTTAATGTCAAACGTATAAATGTAATGCAGAAAACTCGCAAGCCGAATTGTCTATGAAGAAACGATAGTAGCAAGGATGAGATTTTCAGCTTCACAGAAAGATGATTAAACATGGTAAAATTTTGATTAAAGTTCATTTTACGTTTCTATTCTAGAAAATAGTTTTTTTGCTTGATTTCAGAAACGAAGTATATTTTGGAATTATTTGATAATATAAAATTTATACTGCATTTTTTAATGTTTTAGTTATCATAAACAATTATTAATTGTTTATGGTAAATATAGCATTTAATATTCCTTTTGCATTTATGACTAGTCATCATAGAATTTATATAAATCAAAATAATCATTTCTTAGCTAAAATTGCTTTAAATTTACCCATCGCATCAGTATTGATATTACGAAGAGTTATTGGAAGTCCTTTTTATATAAGTGTTTATCTAAGTAGAATGAAGAATGCACTTAATTTTGTAATGCTATACACACTAACAATTTTTCTTCTATTAACCATTGATTATATCCCGAGTCTTCCTCCTATACAAATGTTTAAGGATCGCATATTTTATATGATGACTGTATATTTACAAGCTATCTGTTTTGTCTCATTCTAAGATTATGTAACATGTTATTTTCCCAAAGAAATGGCTCAACAATATGAATAATTTAATTTTATACCTTACCTTTGATGTCCTTCGATTATTCTTGGAGAACCATTTACAAGTGCTAGGCCAGTTAATCAGTATTTTTATGAACTCTAGATAGGTATTCTCTGTTTATTCCTTTTATAATTGCATGTAATGTTTAATTAACTTGCTTCTGTGAACCCCGTGTTATACATTTGTATGTGTTTAAATTAAAACATTTCACACCATTTCATTACTTAGCATTTTTCCTTGAAGTAACAATTGTAGTTATAAATCGTTATTTACATAATCTAAATACTTATATTTAAAATAATATAAAAATTTAAACGTTTTATCTGTGTATGAGCTTTGAGGTTTGATTTTAGAATAGATGTTTTCGATTTGTAGATCGAATGTTTATATGCGAATAAGTACAGTAGTATCCTGCAATTGAATTAATTCAAAGTCAAATACAAAATATATAAAAAGCAGCTTTTATTTTACACAAAGCAATTTTCTAACAATTTAGTCGCCGAGCACCTTACAAGGTTCTCTGTACACTATCTTACAAAGCCCTTCGACCTGTGACGTCACAAAACATCCTCGCGTGTGTCCCACGTTCATATCACTGCGAGAGTAGAACATGGGAGGAGGATGAACGACTTGAAAACAGGAACAAAAAAAAAAGGACGAAACGAAGAAAACGACGACCGATCTATGCGGCAGTCATTTTGCTTGTACAAATGTTTTGGCCAAAGCTATATAAATAAATTATGGCATAAGTTAGCTTCCTTATGCAAATCTTCTGGCCTACCGTTTGGAATTCATATGAACATGTTTCCTATTTAGTGGGCAACGGTATCTTTCCTGTCAATGGAGGAGAAGTCAGAACCGCCGAGTTTGCTGAAAAAAGGATCGGAGAGTCCGAGAGATCCAAATTTGCGGTACTCCTGAGTGATTCCATGCCCTCCGGAGATGAGTGGCTCGTGCTTTATTTCGGAATCGAAACCAGCGTGAAGTTCTTCATCATCGATAGATTTGGCTTCAAAAATTTCATGTTCGGGTTCTTCACTGTAGATTTCAGGTTCAGCTTCGATATCCAAACCATGTCCATGAATGGGTTCTTCCTCAGCTTCAAATCCGTGGACTTCAGGTTCGATGTGTCCCAGTCCGTGAGGTGCAGCGAAAGAATGTCCTCCAATGATTCCATGCCAGATGTGTTTGTGGCCATGACCATGTTTGTGGCCGTGTTCATGACCGTGCTTGTGTCCGTGAGCGTGCTTGTGTCCGTGGGCGTGCTTGTGACCGTGCTCGTGTTTGTGGCCGTGACCATGCTTGTGTCCATGTCCGTGCTTATGAGCGTGTCCGTGCTTGTGAGCATGACCGTGCTTATGTTCATGTCCATGCTTGTGAGCGTGTCCGTGCTTATGTCCATGTTCGTGACCGTGTTTGTGTTCATGACCGTGCTTGTGTCCGTGTTCGTGGCCATGTTTGTGAAGGTGACTGTGGCCATGTTTGTGTCCGTGCTCATGCTTGTGTCCGTGTCCGTGCTTGTGTCCGTGCTCATGTTTGTGTCCGTGCTCGTGTTTGTGGCCATGTTCATGTTTATGTCCGTGACCGTGTTTGTGGCCGTGCTCGTGCTTGTGTCCGTGACCATGCTTGTGAGCGTGATGGTGATGATGGCCATGTTTGTGTCCGTGCTCATGCTTGTGCAGATGTCCGTGTTTGTGACCATGTTCGTGTTTATGTTCATGTCCATGTTTGTGTTCATGACCATGTTTGTGCAAGTGCCCGTGCTTGTGTTCGTGGCCATGCTTGTGAGCGTGAGCGTGCTTATGTCCATGTTCATGCTTGTGGGCATGAGCGTGTTTGTGTCCGTGTTCGTGCTTATGACCGTGCTCGTGTTTATGGGCGTGAGCGTGCTTGTGTCCATGCTCATGTTTGTGAGCATGTCCGTGCTTGTGCCCATGCTCGTGCTTGTGTCCGTGCTCATGTTTATGGTCATGTCCGTGTTTATGATGATGATGGTGGTGGTGGTGGTGATGGTGATGGTGCTCACTCTTGTCTTTTATGACAATAACCTTTTTCTCATCATGGCTGCAAACAATAAAAAGTGGCATATATAGTATAACTGCAACATACATTAATACACTATAATTTTAGTAAAAACTGTAGGGACTGAAAACTACAGCTATGTAATTTAAATTTCAGAAAAGAACAATAGACTTAATTAAGCGAACAGCTGCGTATTTTGAAGGCTTTGGGTTTTGTTCTTAAGAATATTTAAACATAGTATTTACGTTTTCAAGTAAAGAGTTTTTAATCTTAATTTTGATTTGTTATTTTCAAAGCGATTCTTCCCGAGGTTTCATTAAAGAAAATATCATAATCAAAACAGGCAAAAGAAAAACTGATTGAAAATTTCAAATAAGATATTCTTCTTTATTTTACTCTGGATATATGTAAAATAAATAAAGTATGCACGAAACTTCATATCCCCATACGTGTCTATAACGTAGGCGTGTGTAGACTACTTTATATTCCTTATGATGCATAACTCCGCGAAATGTAAGAAATAAATATTCCTATTATTTATATTTTCTTTAGGTTTAAGGAATACACATAAATATTACTCTCTTATTTATATTATAAGAATAGACATATTAATAGCTACTCATGTTAATGTATGCAATTCTAAATCACTGAATTTTGCATGCCTAGCAATTAATTTTCTGATTTATAGAGTCTAACAGCATCTTATAAAGCCTATTTGAATTTCCCTTTAAAAATTTTTCTGTATATTATTTTATATTCAAATTGCAGGTGCTAATAAACATATGTTTGAATGCAAAATGTATTAGATTAAAATGCAGTTAAAGTTTAAAATAATCAATTTGTTTTAAAGTATTTAGTTAACCATGAATTCGAAAAATAATTTTTAAAATTAAAATTTTCGAAATTAAAGAAAAGACTTTACATATTTAAAGAAAGAATTTTTTTCGCAAATAGCTAGTGAGGAAAAAAAATAATAAAGAAGGCATAAAAATTACAAACTTTTGGAACGTAAAATTGCGTTTTTAGTCTAAAATATTTACTTAATATCATGCACTGTCATCTACCAGTATTTCGAACGAGCGGACTACACACTCAACCTTATCTCAGTGAGAGTATTAGTATCAGTTTACCTCTTTTTTTAACAGTTCACTTTTTTAGTGCAATTTTTCTTCGCATTCCATCAATTACTACGACATTAAGCATCTCTTTACATCTGTCTCGTCGATGAAAGATGATGGTCTACTGATGGTTACTACCATTAATCGTGAATTTTGAAACTGATGTAACAAGACTTCTGATTCTAATTTTACACCTCAGAAAAGCAATTCTTAGTGCAAGTATTTTCAACAAGTTTAAAACTCTTATTATTTTCAATTACGTAATCACAGATTTAATTTATTTTCTGTTCCTAATTCAATAAATATTTATTTAAATGGTTTATTGGTACTTTATAGTATTACGAAGGCAGAGTTGCGTTTGCATCTAACTGAGACTGCTTTGCTTATTTGAAATTCTGCGTATTTTTTAAAATAATTTTTGAAGTAATTTTTGTAGCTAAAGCGGAAACGCCAAAGCGAAGGAAATTTGTGTAACTTGTTTCGCTAATTTTAATTTTAGGGGAGTTCTCATATGTAGCAACATAGGCTCATTAGCGGCTGAGCGGTATAGTCGTTGAACACTGGTATATTAGTACGGGCTGGAATCCCAGCGAAGAGTCTGTTTAATATTTTTATAATTTTTATACTAAAATTCATTGGAATTTCCGCCAAAAATACCACAAAATAATTGTATTCTAATATGAAACCAGAACTTTGAAATATCTTGAATTTTACTGGACATTTCGAATTCGAGAAAAAATTGCTTTTCGATGTTATGTAAAATCGTTTTCGCTATTTAATAAAATACTGCTTAGAATATTAGCTAAAGAATGTTTTTTCTGGCAGAATTCTAACAAATGTTTGTAATAAATCCGGGATCTTCAATTTTTTTCTAACACATGCGAAAATAATATCAAATAATTTAATGCCTGTCAATGACAATGACGATGCGCAACGATTCGTTTTTGAAACTATGTTACACAATGAAGAAATTCTATCTATATATGCACTGTATAATGCTGTAAAACTTAATGTTATTTTTAATCTTAAATAACGGAGTTTGAATATGTATGATTATAGAGTTTGATTGGTTTATAAATATACGCTTCAATAAGGAAAAAACTTGTTACATAACGCTTTTTTTACTACAGTACTACTTATTTATTTTATTGCTTCTTTTCTGGCAGACTTTCCATCTGAAATGTACATGTAAATCTTCAACTGCGAAAAGTGTTACAAATCTGTTAGTGCATACTGTAAGACACGAAATGTTCTCAAATTTTCTCTACCAACCGAGTGACTACCTAGCAAATTTTGTCTTTTATTTCCGCAATTAAATTATTGATTTAAGTATAACTAATAAAATACTGCTTAGAATATTAGCTAAAGAATATTTTTCTGACAGAATTCTAACAAATGTTTGTAATAAATCCCTGATCTTAAATTTTTTCCTAACACATGCGAAAATAATATCAAATAATTTAATGCAGAACTTCATCCTATAAAGTACTTTAAAATGCTTGTTAAATGTTTACTTATTAAATACAAAATACAGGATAACAATTAAAATGTTGTACAAGATATTCATATGTGTCACCTTTTGAGCACAAAAAACTTTCTGATTCTAAGCAGAATTTTCAAAATTAAAGTTGGCTGTCTAAGAATATGTTTGTTAAGAGGAAGAATTAAGTGCTTGAACTCAGCACTTATGTAGTGCATTCAATAACAGATAACTTTAACGAAGGTAAAAATATTTCAGAAATGATTGTATTTGATAGCTTATGAGATGATAATTACTATTAGGCAAGTAAGGTAATAAAAATGGAACAGTTTGCAGAAATTAATGTCTGTTCCTATTATAGCCTACAGCAAAAGGAAACTAAATAAAAAGTTTCCTCATAGTTAAGTAGACAGGTTATTGATATTAAATTTAATAATTTCTTTGTTTATATACAGAGGAAAAATATCTAAATTTTTCTGAATCCGAATCTTAAAAGGTTCTCCAGTTTCTCGATTTCTTCTTATAAGAATCATAAGAAGAACTAAACAGTAATTAGTAACACTAAACAGTAATTAGGACTTAAATCAAAGTGTGTACTGTATATTTAGTGAATCTCAATAAACCTGATCTTTTTCAAGTTTCGAAATATAATGACGAGTGTGTACTGAGGGCTCAAGGCTCTCTCAAAGAAAATTAAGAATGTTGAAGTAAATTCTTTTTTATTGGATGAGCATCGACAAAATTAATCTTTCCGAAGTTTTGTGTGAAAAGTAAAAGTGTGTACAATAAGCTTAAGTTATGAGTGTTTACTCTTTATTTTATGAATGCTTCTGTACTTAATGGGCATCAATAAAACTAACCTTTGTAAACGTATTGAGTTAACATTACGAGGCGTTGTTAAAGAAATTTAACAGTGTGTTACTCAGGTCTGCCATGAAGTGATACTAGTGATTAGCTTTAATGAAATTGCTACAAATAGCTTTCGTAAGAACTTTCTAATGCATTTTCGTTTTCCGATTCCAATTAATTAACTTAACTTACAGTGTTAGAATGATTATTAGTTATATTTTTATCCACAATTGGATAAAGCATTACTATGTAAGAATCCGTGAAGATATAATTTTTAAATTTTAGTTGTACCACTGAAGTAAAGTAATCATATTCATCAGCATCTTAATTTAATCTAATCATTAGTTTAATCAAATTTAATGTTAATAATTATCATTTTAATTTAATTTAGTTTAATGTGACTTGCAATTATCATCTAAATAAATGTAATACTGATTAATAATTTTTAACGCCTTCGATTTGTTTTCCTAACATTAAAGTCACGTGTATCAACATATTATAATAAAACTGCATTTACCTTACGCTTATACTTAACTTAAACTTAAACGCTTATACTTAAACCTTACGCTTATACTTAAACGTACTATTAAAAAGGAAAGAAAAAAGGGGATTAAATACTTTATGAAGTTGATGACAGATTATAAAAACGAAACAAGAATTATATTTATAAAAGAGGATGAAACGCAGGAAATATCAGGGAATTAATTTTGGTTCCTACAGAGCAGAACTAATAACTCCAGAAACTGAAAAGGAAATCGGAAGTATCAGTTTTTGGCTAGAGGTTTGGGACTGGGAAAAACAATTACCGTATCTATTTTTCTGGCGTATAAATCGATTTTTGAAGGCCAAACAAATATTTTCACAAAATTTCTTTAATAACTTCTATTTACGCTTGTCAATGAAATGTTTGGTTATATTTAATAAAAGTGATTAATCATATACCTTTTTCATTTCAAACAAAATATTAAAGGAAAAATTATTTTTGTATCTATTTCAAATAATTAAATTTGCGTATGCATATATACTTTCTCCTCCCATTGTGGAAACATTGAGGCGTCTAAAACCAGATTTTGAACAAGCATAATCCTTCACGCAAACATGTGCACCTCGAAGCTCTACTTTTGAATTTCGATTTGTTTCTTACTTAGTTTCTGTTTTATGCGAACTGAATGGAATTTTAATGAACAAATTCCACTGTTTAAAAGCAGTGTGTTGCTACTAGGCACATATATACATGCTTCATATTTAGGTTTAAAATCACTTCCATTCGTAAAAACTTGAGACATTTAATTTTTTTTTCAAATTTAGTCTGTTTTTTATTGATTAACAGGCTAAGCGATTTAAAAGCAACAAACTCAGATTTTTTTATCATTATTAATTACTAGCTAGAACCGTGAAACGACATTAGCTGGATTCATTAAAATAATTTAAGGTGGCTGGACCTGCTCGCGAATAGCATTGTAATAACTTTTATCTTAGATAGACCTGAAATTAGTTATCATCATAATAGAAATGATTTAAAGCAGTTGTATGTCTAAATTCAAAAGCTTAACAACCTGGCTGAGCTACTACTCGAATATTAAAGTAATTTTTAGTTAGGCATGAACACAACAGCTGGTAGCAACAGCTCTCAACTAAACAATACTTCTGTTAATCTATTTAAACAATAGTAGAGATGTATCACCACATTAGCCTAAAGTTGTCAAATCAGTACTCTTTCCTAAACTTAAATTCTCGCTTATTATTTAACCTCACTTAATTTGTATTTTCTGGCGAAAGAGACGAAACAGTAGCAGTGCAGGATAGATTCAACATAAGGTACAATATCATCATTAATGTAAAACTTATAGTTTATATCTCTCGACGAATTTACAAGGTGGAAAATACGGTAAATATTTCATGCAGTTGCAACAGTTTGAAATTTATAACATAGCTCTTAAGAATAATAGTGAGTAGGTCTTGATCACTTACATGGGCTCCGGTTCAGGTTCTGGTTCTGGCTCTGCAGCGACATACATCACTGCGACCATCAACACCACTAGGCACAGCTTCATGTTGATCCTCATCTAGAACAAGAGGGAAAAATCAATTTTTAATACCATTGTACACACAAGTTTTTCTTTTCAATCTTGTAATGACGTAATAAACACTTAACATAATCCGAAAGAGTATCGCTTTAGTAAGTTATTTTATGCATGCATCGTATTACAATTACTTAATTGCTTACATAAATGGACATTTTATCGAAAAAAAGTGCATGCAGAGAATGAGTAAACACATTTTATTTTTTTCTTCATAAGTCTAACATTAAATATCGATTATTTAATCTTTGTAAATATCGATTACTTAAATATCATTTTTTGGAAAGCGAATTTAATTGTCTAAAGAGCAAGAGAAGACTTCTAACTTCTAACTACTCTACGGCCTTCTAACTTCATAAACCACATGGCTCTTTAAAAGGCATTAGAAACATTTAGCTCTTATTAAAAATATTTTAGAATAAAAGAATTTAAAAAAAAGAACATGGGAGAAGAAAATTAAACTTATCTTGCGAGAGATTATTAGTTTCACTATAATTAAAATGCTGTTAATACTCTTACAAAATTTAGATATATTATATGTTACTTTAAAAAAAATATACTTATTATTTTACTATATATATCGAACAGGTAGCTAATCTTATAAGTCTGTATTAAGTACGTGGAAATTTAATTAATAAAAGAACATAAATGTGCTTTTAAAATTTATTTATTTATTAAAAATTTTGAAATGCGAGAAATGAGTTTTGTTAGGCGCCTAAAAGCTTTTCCTGGTAATGAAGGGGCTATTTATATATTTAGAGGATTATTGCATTAGTTGTATTAAGTATTTCATATAAAAAACATATACACTCGAAACGCTTTATTCATTTTACACTATCAGGATGACTGTAACTAATTTTCATTTTAGTTACCGTTAAGCTGGTTGCAGTAATAAAATTTATCATACTTGCAAGATCTCGTAACATTAAGAACAATGAATTCATAATGTTTAGAATAATGGGTAAATTTGCAATATATAAATACTGGCAATAAAATGTAATGTTAAGAATTATGGGTGGGATTATCCTAAACAGTTTATTTTTGGAATATCTCATATATAAATAAGCGAAATTTTTATTGCAAGTAGCTTTGTTCCTATACACTACGGTTTACAAATTTATTTAGATAGTTGCACTTTTAAATACCAAATTGCTGGTAAAATTAAGATTTCTATTGTAAAACAGAAATATTGCATTACACATCTCTTATGAAAAAAACGTATGTAAGAATCGTATTTAATTATTAAAGAAGCGATTTGCATGTTTAGATTTTTACAATATATTTATTTCTAATTAATTACAACAAATGCAGATATTATCCGATATTATTCTCCCACATAGTAATTTTGAGTATTTGGTTAATTGTATTATTAATATTATTTCATTAAATTTCTAAAATATTAGACTATTAATTTCGGCAAAACTCTAAAAGGCAATATGCCTCAAGACGGCAGTTCTTTGTGGAGAACTTTCTAATGAACAGTAACTTGTACTTATGTTAAATATACAGTAGGTTGTGAACGTCATACGCATTCAGCCTCTTAAGTTGTTAGAAATCAAATCTAGTACTATAAGGTATTTCTCCCTCTTTTCTAGCGTGCCTTTGTAGTGTAGTGGTTCTGCACGCTGGGCCGGTATTCCAGAGGTCCGTGGTTCGGTTCCCGGCGAAGGCGTTGTTAACTTTTCATCTTTCCTCTTCCAAAAAAAAAAATCCTACTGTCTCTACAGTACAAGTTGCCAAAATTCAGAGCTGTTATCTACTCAAACACTGGTAGACCTATTTTAACAAATATATTTTTGACGAAAAGAATTTCGCTTTCCTCTAGATAAATTAAAACTAATTTTTAGTTAAAATTTGCCCAATACATGTTTTTGTTACTTTAAATAATTTGATATAGTTAATTAATATTCAATTCTTAATTTATAATTTTGCCACAATAACTATGCCTTAAACAATAAATTTTCTTTCTGGGCAGACACAGTGGTTCAAAATATATACAAATTTAAATTTAAAATCCCAATAACCTGGATGCTCTATTCCACAACTACTAACTTAACTTCATTCAAAGACACTCAGTAGCTCGTTGCTCCAGTAATGCTAAAGACAGTTAGTAATAGAGGGCATTCAGCATCACAGCTGATGTTGTCAACTCTCTCTCTTAAACTTAAGATTCCCGTTGCTTTTTAAACTTCATCTATATATTCTGGTGGCGTAAATAGAAAGTTGAAATGCAGTAAAGACTTAATGTGTTAATAAAATAAACTTTATATCCTTAATTCATAAATAATGACATTAATATATTTACTCCAAACAATATTTTTTTTATTTCCTTAAATTAATATTTTCGATTTGAAACTATCAAATTAACTTTTGTTAAAATTACCATATTATATCGCAAAGACGTACTTTTATGCTACAGCTATCTGAACTCACAAGTAGTTAGTATGTTAACATATTTTCATTTCATTTTGCTTTATCTAAATTAAAATTAATTTTCAATTAAAATATCCTCAAAGCAGTTACCATTGCTTTAAACAATTAAATACCTCTAATTAATTATTATTTTTGTTTAACTACGTCCTGTAATAAATAAGTAAAACATTTCTTACGCAGCTGATAATTTCTCTCAAAACTATTCAGTTTGAAGCCTTGCATAACTATATTGACAAAGTCCAGAAGACAAATATTTCCAAAATTCAGTCTTATTCTACAACGCTGGGGAACTATAGGTAGTTACAGGAATATGTTTTAATTAATAGGAATAAAACTTATTCAAATTAAATTAAATATCCTTAGTTAATAATTATTTTTGTATAACATACTTCAAATAATAAACTTTCTTATGCAACTGACTACACGTTTCCAAAACTATCAAATTTTCAGTTATGCTTTACATAATTTTACCGACTAAATGCACGTATACGAATGTTACCGATGTAATATCTCCAAGTTTCACTTTATATTACAATGGTCTGGAACCACAGGTAGTTAGCAGATGAAGCAACATGTAAGTTATAATCCAAAAGCTAGGAAAATAATCCAATGGAAATGGATAGATAGATACCTTTGTCCGAGGAAGCCTTGTTGTAACGACTTACTCGATGGTTGAGTTTGGGATGAAAGCGAAACTATTGCTCAGGCTTATATACTCGTTTAGAATCACCGGCGAAATACTTCTACGGATCTAAAAATTACTTCCTAGTGCTCAAAAGAATTGGACTAAGTTGCTGATGCATGACGGGAGCCCACACTTCCTCCAAAAGGACGCTAGTATGCGAAACGGCAACCAAACAAACAAAAGTTCCGATCAATTTCGTTATTATCATTATTTTTCTTGCCCATTTGATTTACTTTTCTCATGTTTGCATGTAATCTGCGTTCGCCAACGATTGTTGGGAAATTATTATTTTAGAATTTAGCTTCGACTTGACGGTTGGGAAGTGGTGGTGTTCCTCTGTTTAAACTGTTTTCGTTCGCTGAGGAATTTTCTTTTTCCACAGGTAATGATTACTGTGGGAAACAAGAGTTTGTCCAACTGCTTTATTATTCTGATCTGAAACCCAGCAAATGTTTTTCTTTTTAATTTTGTTTTCATTCCTTATTATGTCTTGTTCCCAAGAAAGCAGTATCGTAATATCAGGGGCAATTTCGGCATTTGGAACTGAAAATTGCGACAAAGTGGGGTAAAAGTGATGGAGTCTTAATTCCACTAGGAAGTAACGTTAAATTTTGTGACATAGATACACCCTCTCCAGCAATTTTCGTCCAGAAATATTGTGAGAAAAATTCTTATTTTTCATTCAGTAGTTCATAAATTATTTAGGTTCTGTTAAAGACTAAATACTATGCGAGTAATCTAGATAGGCTTTATTTCTGGGTACTGCACAGGTTTTGCTTCACCTCTCGCAAAGGTGGGCAATATTTAATACTGTAAATGAGAGGGGATCTTTAGTGGATCATTGTAAGGGATTAATTACTTTTCTTAACTATTAATTATAATTTCCAAATATACTTATTTATATGTTGATCTATCTATTTGTCTAACTATATACATCTATCTATACTCGTAGTACTTATAATACTGCAATACTAGTAATACTTATAATACTGTAATACTCGTAATACATATAAATTATGACTCGTAATGTATAGTGTCGTAATAAATGCGCTTTTAAAAATATTTTGAAGTACGGAGGCTCTTTAAGAATAATTTCAGATAATTTACAGCAATTTATAGGTAGCATTTTTGAGAAGGTGTGGAGAGCGCAGCTTCTCAAAATGTGTATAGAAACAGTGTGCGTAGACCTGGACATACAACACATAAAAATGATCCCATACGGAGCTCAGTCAAATATTGCTGGGCATATAAATAGAAATATAGTGCAGATAACTTGATATTATGTGAAGAAAACTGTTATAACAGATGCGTCGTTGCACTGAAAAATTAGACTATGTACTGGGGTCCGCGAGATATGAGAAAACAGAAAAATCATCGGCAGAACTATTTCTATTCTAAAGAATAATGATGTTCTTAAATAAGTTTTTAACCCTTCACGGGAAAGAAAATCGGTTTTTTAACAAAAAGAAAAAAATTAAAGTTAATAAATGAGACGCTAGAAGTATCGAATAAGGTCAAGGACAAGTAAAAATTCTATTATGGTAAAAGACGAAGGAAGGAAGATAAAAAGGTGGAGACAAAGGGGTGAAAATCAATCTACGATGTCAACCGCAGAGAAAATTAAACAAGTAAGTTTAATTCCAAATTTAAAGGATCGTATTTAGCGGTGAATAGCAAAGATTTTGTAGTATGTTTCAAAACAGCTTGGAGTAGATAAGGATCTTGGAACAAATTTAAATTATTTTCTAGGAAGATGATATGCCATTCTTGAGAGAAATGGGAATTCAGGTAAAGATACCGTGTAGAAGACAGGCACAGGGAACAAACATCTCTGAGCAAGAAGGGTTGATTAAGAATTTGAGAAAAAGGTGTTCGTCCTGAAAGTAGAAAAGGTGAAGAAGTGCAGAACAGGTCAATGGAAAAGCGGTGGAGAAAAACAAAAGGGTAGGATAAGGGGCTAGAGAAAAATAAGAAACAGAGGTCTCGGAACATTATGGCAGGGGGGGGGGAACGGTAGGAAAGTTTATTGGAACGGTTAAATACAGTCCGGCAACAAGGCTATAAGAGAAAACGAGAATTACCGCCACGGGCCAAGAAAGATCTTCCAACCGAGGAAGGGAATCATAAGAAAATCTGATGAAGGGAGTAAGTTACAGCAACAACAGGCCTTATAGGAGCTGCGCCTCTTGGATTGCGAAGCAGGAAAAGAAAGGCGAAAACCGATGACGAGCCCCTACGTTGCCGACGCAGGATCAACACACTCAAGCCGCAGCAGCAAGAACTGTATATGGTCAAGACATCGCCGCTAAAGCCGGAGTTTCAAGCGGAGTCCAAAAGCAACCGCTTTCAAGGAGTATGAACTCCGACAGGCTATGGTAATCATCAACAAAGCGAATGCAGCAGCATTAGGAACATTCAAGCTACAGGTCCCGGGACTGGTGCCAAAGACGACTGCGAGAGTGGAACAGTACGAAATGCAATAGATTGTAAAAATAAAAGATAGGTTAATTTTTGTTAATATTTCAAACTGAAATGTTGCTGCAGAATGAAGTCAAAAAAACATACGCATGTTGTAAACAACTTAAAGTAGTGCAATTAACTGAAATTAAATGTGATAGTTTAAGTGTAAAATTTCGCACATAATTCTGGAAAGATTTCAAATTTGTTTACGTTTGTAATGTATATTTAAATGCTAATATTGCAAAGATTTTAAATTTAAGAGTTTCTGAATTGTATTATATATTGGAACTACCGGTGTTTAGAGACTTTATCGCTCGGCCACTGGCGAGCCAGTTCATTAATTGAAACTGTAGAGTATATATGCATAAAGATAAAAATATCTCATTTTCAGAGCAAAGACACTGGTTGTAGATAAGATTAGAAAGGACTTTTACTAAGTAGTATGGAAAGAGATAAAAGGGTTGTAGTAACATGAAATGTAGAAAAATAAATATTTTACCAGTGAATGGTACAATAGTGAAGGCTAAAAACCGTAAAATTTCACAACGATGGTCGAATGGGGTCATGGACTATTATTACTATTTGCTATTTGCATCCGCAGATAAAGCAGGAAAATTTTTTAATTAAATTTGTATAACAGTTTTTGACAAATTTATGAAAAAAGCTCATATTGTTTGAAATACATGACTACTACACTCTTACGATTTTAAAATTGCTATATCTAAAAATGTATTTGTTACAAAAATTACAAATTTTTATTGATTATCAAACAAACGGCTTCATCTTCTTTTAAACAAAAATTATTTAAAAAATATTAGCTGAGCCCTTATATACTTTTTTTAAAAATGTAAGCAAATACCATGTGATACAGAATCACTTCTTTCTTCGGCATTGCTTTCAAATATAGTATAAATGTTAAGATGTTGTTTCCTCATAATATGTTCTTCCACGCCATTTAAAATGCTTTCCGTTTCATAAATTGGCCCACCAGCGGCCGAGCGGTAACTTCGCTGAGCACTGGTAGTTCGGTCCGAGTTCGAATCCCGCGAACGGGCTTGCTGAATGGGCGTTTTCGTGGTTTTCCCCATGTGTAACGTGTATACGAGCCAGTTTTCCTTAGAAAGTCCTCCACGAAGGCATCCCTCACTCAAGGCAGATAGCCCTCGAGTGCTTTGCCGTAAATTAATAAAACCAAACCAAAACCGCTTCATAAACTTACATACGCATTTTCTAGCATTTCATTTCAAGAACTTCTTTCCTTAGAAAGATTTTTAATTTTGAAAGGTTATAAAAGAAACGTTTCTGGAAAAAGTGAAAATCGTTGATGTAAAGAATCTAATACTGAACTTCAAAACTTATCTTTACTGAAAAATATAGTACACACAGTTTGTTTGTGGATGACAATACAATGCGATGAACCAATTTTTTCAGAATTCTCTTTAGTGTTTAAAGTTTAATGTGTAAACGATTTTCTGCTCGTATCTTAACGAAAAAGCGGCAAATTTCAGAACTGTACTCTTCGCATCACCGAAGAGAGCGGGAAAACAATATCTTAAATAAAAATTATAAGAGATTTTAACCTAACTTCTGATTTTTTGGTTTTATAGGCAAAATTTCTGAATGCTTTTGACCATTTGACATAAACAATTAATAGAAATAGTGTAAAAGAATGATTATTCTTGTGGGAAAAAGACCTTTTTAATTTAATAATTTTACTGATTACGAATCATGAGACTAAAAATATGATAATAAATTATTAAAATTTTATTAAATAAGCTTTTGTTTAAAGCTCATAAAATCATTAATGAACTAAAAGTATAAAAATAATTTATTGTATACTTTCATAGGAGCAAGAGATTACAAAATTCATCTACAAGTTTATATCATGAATAATAAAAGCGTATGCCGTCCTTAATAAATGTATCAAATTAATGGCTTATGCTTTTGGCTATACAATTTTATTATTAGATTTTTGTTATTTAGGTTTCCGCTCTTTTATTATTCGTGACATAAAACTGTAGATGAATTCTGGTAAAGAAAATTATTTTACCTGTAAGGTTTAATGCCTTTCACTTCTGTAACCTCTGACGAGATCTTTAATAGATATAAAGCGAGATATTGCTAAGTATAACAGGGTAAAGATTAAAGACCCTAAGTGTGTAAAAGACTCTTTATTTTAAACTCAAATGGATGAACAGGAGGCAGACCTGGTGGTTACAAATCCGCCAGCATTTATAGCGAGAAACTCAGTATAAATTTATTGTAAAGCTTAATCAAAATATCTAACAGCTAAAGGCTACACAGAGGAATTTAATCGCAAAGTTGGCTCGGACTTAACCGGCACAAATTTAACTATCGACAAGAAGTAATGCAACGCCGGAAGGCCTGGACTCTTATCTAGAATAGCATAATTAGCAACTTGGCCTTCAAGAGGCAGGATAAACTCTGATTTAAAAATCTCAAACTTTTAAAGTTTGGACACGCGACTAATTTGTATTCTGAATATTTGAAGGGAAAACGGAAAGAGAGAAGTGGCAGTAAAAATTCCGA